AAAAACAACAATAGAAAATATAGAATATAAACTCCATTTAAACTCCACTCCTTAGCTTGGCGCCATATTGAATTTCGCGGCCGCGCCGGTAAAGGCCTGGGGACCAGGTGCTCTACCGTATCTGAAATAGCCTTCACCCTCCGGCAACGCAGTGTCAGCCGTGAGGCCCTGGGACCGAGGATGAAGCAGATATGGAATTTGTTTCGAATATTAAAGAACTATTTATGAAACAAAATAAGAAGTTATGAATATTCTGATCTTCTAAACATAATTATAATACATGGGTAAGTACAATACCATTTCTAACTTTTTATTTAACAACACTACACCTGCCCTATTGCCCGTGATATATCGATGTAATGTAACCTAGCATCATTCCTGATGATGACTGAATCTTAGTCGAAAGCTAGAATATAATTAAAATGTTTATTTTCGGAGTTACCGTTGTTTTATAAAAAGGTTATCAAAACATACCTTTGAGAAAACGAGATCTTCACAGCAAAAATCGCAATATATTTCAACAGTTTTTAAGAATAAGTTTTTGAGAATAAGTTTTTGAGAATAAATATCTTGAATAATAATGAGCCGCACTGATTCGCGCGTTGCATTTCGGGAAGACTAAACTTTTTAAATTAAACCTTTTTTTTGTTAATTGTGTTGTCCATATCCGTATAGTTTTAAAGTGTTTTAAGCAATTTTACAACAATTGACTAGTTACGAATTGACTAAATGATCTCCAACCTAACGATATTGGCTATTTTTACAAAATTATAAAATCAATTAACATAGGTGGTGAATTAAGCACAATGTGCGAAACTAGAAAGTCAACCTTACCCTATGAGCACAATTCAAATACAAACTATATTGACAATCAACAAAACCGGTTAGTTCCGGCTATCCGAGGCTTCAATATAGCTTCTTTGAACATAACAAGTCTACCAAAACATATTGACGAACTTCGGATCTGCATGAACGATAAAGAAATAGATGTTCTTGCAATTAATGAAACACGTATGGACGATATTATGCCAATCCAGTCAATAGCCATCCAAGGTTACAATTGCATTTCCAAAAACAGAAATAGATCTAGGGGTGGTATCGGTTTTTTCATTAGATATTCAATAAATTTTCCGACCTCGAACTGACCTGAATAATCTTGATATTGAAATTCTTACAATACAAATTAGTAAACAGGGGCCGGTTGTATAGAACTCTTAACCCCTTTTTTAATCACTATTTTGTAGTTAAATAGTGATTAACTCTTAAATTGGCGCTTCATATTGGATGACGTTATAAATAAATATAAAACTTAAATATAGTTAACTTTAATAACTTTTTTATACAACCGGCCCCTGAACGTTAAACCGTTCTTAATTACAACGTGGTATCGAACACCAAATGATCCAATTGACACCCTTTATAGATTTGAGAACTGTTTACGACTAATCAATAATGACAATAAGGAAAGTATTATTTTAGATGTAAATTATGACTTCCTATCCGCAAGTCTATCTCCCCAAGCTTCGGAGCTCAAATTTAATACAGGACTGTATCAATATGAACTATTGATAAGTGAACCTACAAGAGTTACTAAAGATACTCGGACATGAATTGATCAGTTTTACTCAACAAATCCTGATAATATTATTTCAAAGGGAGTGTCAACTGTTTCCATAAGTAATCATTATCTTATTTATGGCATCAGAAAATTTAAGGTTTCCAAAGAAAATGCAAAGACAATGCGATTACAAACATTTCAGCGAACAAATATTCTTGCGCGACCTGCAATATTACTTGTCCGATTTTGACCTGGACCAATACGATCCAAATATGTCTTTGCAGATTTGCAAGAATAAATTCTTCAGAATCTGGAACAACCATGCCCCAGTAAAAAGACGGAAAGTCGGCACTTAGCGACTACCTTGGCTAAAAAATAAACAAAAGATCTAAGTCACAAAAAAAAACACGCCATATTAATTTCCTACATAGGAAAACTATAACAACCAACACAACTGGCACGTGCCTGGTCTGTCTATAGAAAAGCAAAAAACCAATACAATAGAAAAAATTTAAAACAAACATGGAAAACACTCAACGAATTGATGAATAGAAAGTCAACTAATAATAAAATCCCAGAAATGAAAGATGAGAATGGTGAAATAGTTGACGAAACGCTGATCCCTGATGAGTAGTAATATAGGGGCCGATCGGGCCTTATTTTTGTGGTGGGGTGTGGTGGAGGGAGCTGGACTGAGGTGGAGTGTGGTGGAGGGTACTTAACATACCTCCACATTAATTAACATACCTCCACATTAATTAACATACCTCCGCATCACATTAAATAACATACCTCCACATTAATTAATATGCAGACGTCACGTGGGCAAGCTTGGACAAGATGGGGCAAAACTTGCTGACTAGGTATTTTTTAGCGTCCCTCCCACGTGTGTGATACAATAGAGGGATTAATGTTGGCATAGCATAGCTACAAAATTTTCCAAACATTTGATCCAAGCACAGTCAATGGATAACATAGATATAATTTTTCATATTTTTGATGAGTTGAAACGAAATAAAAACGATGGTTTTACAAGCAAACTTTATCGTTTCATATAAATACAATGATCACTAAACCTTGAACAAGTCTACAGAGAGATAAATGTTACAAACTTTGGTCGTGATTATTGCCTATTTAACTTTCGTATGTTTACAAAATGGTAGTGAGGAATCTATTCGTCACGTCAACGAGCAATGTTAATAAATATGCCAAGCGAAGTAAGGACATGCACGCGTTACTATGCGTTGTTATGTTCGCTACACCATTCATTTCTTTGCAGGTTTTGTATTCGATTTTGTTCACTTCCTGGAGGATTTTGGTTGACGGATGGGTATATTCTTTATTCCACTTTTATTCCACTTTGACTGCTTTTTACTGTACCCAATTAATCTGTACAACTCTGCTAAAACATTTTCTAAGTCTAAAGCTGTTGGCTTAGCACGAATAAGATAAGGTTGTCTTTCTTCGGAAGAAAGTTCATGGACGTCTGCCAAATGGTTTGCCAATTTTATTTTATTTTATTTTATTTTATTTTATTTTATTTTATTTTATTTTATTTTATTTTATTTTATTTTATTTTATTTTATTTTATTTTATTTTATTTTATAAACCAAACACAAACAACCATTAAAAGTCAATGTTTCTAGGAGACCATGTGTTTCTGAAAAGTCTCAAAAGAAATTTTCTCTTGTCAATAGCGGCCTCTAACGCTTCCCTGTGGTCGAAATTATCATCGTTGACAAAGACATCCCTGGTTTCCATAATCTTTTTGTGTACTGGATCCCTCTTTAGGTGTCTTATCCATAGTAGACGTTCCAGATAAATATTCTGCAAATCTTTACGAAGTTTTGGTAGGATAAGTAAGTGTGCTTTGTCTTTAGCTTCGTTTTCGTCAAAACCTTCTGCAGTGAAATTCTGCGTTAGTTCTTCGAATTCCGATAAACTTTGCTGGGCTGCTTCAACTTTTAAAGAAGCCCATGGATCGCTTTCGTATTCATCACCTACTTCACTATCATCTACATTATCAGAATCGCTTTCTGACGCAGAATCAGTTTCCACTTCGTTGTCAGTGTTATACGAATTCTCAACATCACTCTCCGATGTAGCACTATCAGAATCTGCAGCCGTTCTCATTCTTTTCATCTTTACACTGAAATCTGTAGTAGGTTTCCAACAGTACTGTATTTCCTTCGTATATGGTTAGGTTGAAACAACTCCAGCCACAACCAACCGGCGAATGATCAATTTTTTGAACAACATTACATTTTATGAAGTGGCCCCAAGGGACTTTTCTATGGCCTTGTGTCCCGATTGGTGATTGGCAGGGATACTTCCCACCAAGCCTCCCCACCAAGAGGATTCTAGAAAATCGGGCCACAGGGCCATAGAAAAGGCCCTTGGGGCCAATGCGGAAAGTAGCCCCAAGGGCCTTTTCTATGGCCTTGTGGCCCGATTGGCCGGGAGGCTTCCCGCCAAGCCTCCCCACCAAGAGGATTCCAGAGAATCGGGCCAACGTTCATTCATCACCAACAGTCATTCCGGACCAGCTTAGACCTAGGCCTTTACTCGGCTGGCTTTGGCAGGTATCTTTGGCAGGTTTGGTCAATTCCGGGCTAGCATTTGGTAATTATCGCCCAGTCTTCTCATGTGAAAAAGCGCTGAATATTAAAAAATAATAAAACTAGAAGACCTAGATTTAGGCTGATTCCAGACTATCTTAAAAAACCTCAACGTTTCTAAAATTAATTTATCCAGTTTGTTAATAACAGTGTGTATAACAAATGTTTTGCTTTTGCAAACGTCATGGCCAGCTGGATGTTGAACTGACACACGGGTAAGGTTCACATTTTAGCTGATCATGTTTATTTCGCCCGAAATTGGTGATTACCTATTCGTCATCGGTTGGATAGTGAACCATAATTAATAGAGTAGATGGTTTGGAAACTCGTTAGAATAACAATATAACTCATTATCTATGTTAGTCAACGTTTATTCATAAATCTGGTCCTTCACCGTCACGTGTGTATTGTATTTTTGCCAAATCTACCAATAGCAATTTGCAATTTACCCTATATTGTTCGAATCACGGATAGGTAATGAGTTAAATTGTTATTCTAATGAGTTTCCAAACCATCTATTCTATTAACTATGATGATAGGCTACCCAAATTGCATAATCATGTGACGATATCAAAGTAAACCGAAACATTAAATAGAGATTTAAACAATGTTGCAAATTGGCTGTCCGCACTATTAACTCTGAACAATAGTAAAACCGAATATATGATAATTGGTTCCAAGAAAAGGCTTAGTCAAGTGATTTCCGACCTGCTATTAACGTAGGTAATTTAGAAATTAAGAGAGTTGAAACGACAAAATCATTGGGCCTAATGATAAACGAGTCTCTAACTGGACCGCGCAGGTCGAACACATTTCAAAAAAGGTCACCTCGGGCCTTGCTATTCTCAGACGACTGTGGGATACAGTCGAATTCAATACCTTCATAACAATATACCAATCCATAATTCAACCCTATTTCGATTATTGTGCTCAAGTGTGGGGTTGCATGCTCAGGGAAAATATTAGCAGCTAAAGTTCAAAAATTACAAAACGGGGCGTTTTGAAAAATCACTAGACAGGTTAAAATACCACGGTTCCGGTTTACGGGTACGAGTATCGCCATTTTGTTTACCAATTTTTATTCAATTTTTATTCAATTATTCAATATCTTAGGATATCATACAATATCTTAGGATATTATTCAGTATCTTAGGATATCATACAGTATCTTAAGATATCATACAGTATCTTAGGATATTATACAATATCTTAGGATATCATACAGTATATTAGGATATCATACAGTATCTTAGGATATCATACAATATGTTAGGATATCATACAGTATCTTAGGATATCATACAGTATCTTACGATATCATACAATATCTTAGGATATCATACAGTATCTTAGGATATCACACAGTATCTTAGGATATCAATTTCTCGGATGATGAAAGCAGCCACAATGATGAAAGCAGCCACGATGACGAAGCAACGTCTCAAACAAAAGTGAAAATTGAAAAAAAAAATTAAAAGATTTAAAAGTGAAATCTTGTTTAAACTTTTGCCTGCAAAGCCACGCGCCCGATTTTAAGGTAATAAATAAACCCTATCTATCCATAATAAGCACTTAAGTTAAGAAATTAAAAGTTTACTTGTAATCCATTAATGACTGTTAATGACTTTGCCGGTATACGTTTTAGAGAGCCACAAACGACAAAATTTCGATATATCTTGCATATAATCTGTAATAACTCTGCGTTCGTTAGTATTTTTTTCCTGTCTCAAGCTCGCCGGGTGAAATAAAAGAAATTGTGTATATCCAAACAGGGTGGGCGGGTTAATCTCTTTTTAATGACTCTGTAATATGCAAATATCGGCTATAACAATGGCGTTGACAACGATTTTAACTTGGGCTTAGCAACTGCTTAATTCTGTTTAAAAATCTTTATATGTATGTCTGGATTTTTATTATTCCTTGTTTAATAGTCCTAAACATGGTGAATACATCCCCAGAGAAAACCAAGGATGGTGTTAAAGTAGTGGACACTCTAAGATAATCTAATAAAACTTGTAATACGACGAAGTCAAATACACCTTTTATAATACTCTATTTCTATTGTTGTTTATGATTTTGGGGAATTTTGAATAAACTGGGATATTCTCTGCAAAATCCCCCCCCCGAATCTTTGCAAACTCCTATAAGTCAGGAATTTTTATAATACACAATTCTCACTGCGCATGCCTATAAGTACAATATCTACGTCCCACAAGCATTACAACAACTTTAGTAGAATATATATGGGGAATGTGTTAAAATTCATTCAGTTTGTTGGAACTTGGAAGGAATATATGTCGGGGGATAAATATTAGCAAAGTATTAAACTCATAAACTGTAAACATTATCTTAAATGCTAATAATCATTGGCCTACGCTCGTGTAGTTGGTATGAAATGATATCGTAACGACGTGATGGGTAGTGCACATTGCACAACCCGCTCCAGAACCCCCACTTTGTATACTACTCTTAACCTCTCTACTGATGAGAATTACACGACACGATTGGCTGATATATTAAATAAGCTAGGAGTTCCGAACCTCGAAAAAAGAAGAATGCAACAACTTTCAATTTTTATGTACAAAAAACAGATTTGTCCCCGATTACTTGTGTGATATGTTCACACTATGAATGTGGGTGATGTACACGACCATAACACAAGACAGTCGGTAGCCGATTTGACATTGTCTAAACCAAAAACAAATAGTATGAAAAATGCATTCTCCTATGAAGGTGCGGAAGTTTGGAACTGCCTTTCTGCATCGCTAAAAGCATCGACCTATTGCTGATTTTAAGTTTCACTTGAAACATGCATATTAACATCAAGTAATCCTGCCATTGTTTCTATCTATCTATTTAAAATAATCTTCTTGTAAATAATATATTTCTTGTTTCTACTTGTGTGAGCACTGCCGGTTGGAAGATCAATTTATTTTCTTTTTATAACCTATTGTGTACATAATTATGTGACTTATTCGTATGGATGTCATTTCAAATCATCCAATTCGGACTGGACTAGAGATTTCAAGTCCTCGCATTTTGATCCAGTACTCGGAACCAGTCCTCATAGTCGAATTTGAAATATTACTTCGTACAACCGAACCCAGCTCTTTATAAGATACGACTTAATTAGATTCTTTTTCACTTTTTAGATTATTTAGCATTAAATTCTTCTGGGGAACGTTTGGCCTATAGTCTGAACCCGTACTTCGAGTACAGGAAAATGTTTTTTGCACCGAAGAACGAGACCGGAAATAATCCTCTGCCATTCTATTTGACTAATTATTCGCTCCAACCGGCTGTTGTAATTGAAGGGGAAGAGCAGGAATTATACGTGGATTCAGTTTTGCAACTCTACATGGGAGATAAGGACGTGCAAAATAGTGAATTATACAAAGAAGTCAATCTGTTGTATATTAATGATGGATCCGCTTTCGTTTTGTATGCTGTCCCTTTCCTACCCCTTCAAACCTTGTGCCCGGTGAAGGGACAGAATGGAGCAGAGCTTTCTGCAGGGGATTGTAACTATAAATACTCGTTGGAGAGAGTTGCAGAAGTGAGTGCTTTCTTGTTTTAAATAACATTTTATATATGATCTAGTTTATACATTGAAAATCTTGACTAATGTTATTCCATACTGGACCGAACTGTATTAAATGAACGGCTTCTCCTTGGAAGTGATACGGTAATGGCCAGGACCTCTTAAGAATTTGTCAGTGGGGAGGGCAACCTCGTTCCCAGACAAAAGAACCCAACTTGTGAAATGGAAAAGTGGTATTTTTGGAGTGTCTTCGTGTCTGGGGGCCACCCCTAGGCATTTTTTGTATTTCTCAGAGTCTGAAGCTTGACTTTTGAAGATCCCTGCAGCCAAAATGGATCTGGGGGGACTTGCCCACTCCAGTCTTTTGGGTTAAAAAGAGCCCTGGTAATGGCAATCTTTCATTGATTCCATACAGGTCTAGTGTTTAATACATGAAGAAACAAGAAAGCCGTATTGGCTGAAAAATACCAATGATGTTTGTAAAATGAACCTGCATGGTTATTATATCATTATTTTCTTCCGACATACATGCATGTAGAACGAAGCACTGACTGAATTTTGATTATGCATAGATCTGCTTAGTGTGGAATCAAACCCCAGTCTGAGAAGTAATATGTGCACTCAACCACTACATTGCCTGCAATCTTACCTTTGCTCATGATCATTCTAATGTGTACATTTTTGTTTTATTTGATAACTCTTTAATTTTATTTCTATTTTGTTATTTACAGCCGGTGAAATGAAGACTTTAAAGTTCTCTGACTTGACTTTCCTTTAAGTAGTAAAAACTGTAGAATAGTACCAAATAACTGTTATCACTGGTTAGAATTTGATGTTAATGATGTAATGGAATAAATAACGAATAAATATTTTGTTCTCGGTACATGTTAAAACGATTATTGTGTCTACCGTTTGGATTATATACATTATGTTATACAGCTTAAAAAACCAGGTGCTTAGTAGTAGAAAATCTGTTTCCAAAACTGACTATATTTAGTGCTCAACGAGTATATATTTTATGAAACTCAGAGGCTAGCAAGTTAAAATTGTCAGATATAGTGGTTATGAAATACAATGTAAAACCAGTTACAACTATGTCTATGTTCGCAGTAGATAATTAATGGACACTCCCCCCGAATTTGCTGGCGGCAATGAAAACTACTTATTTACAATGGATTACATTGTTAGGTATTGTACCTATTGTTTCGTGTGCATTCAAACAAATTCGGTCCATTGCCTGTACATTTTATGCTATATGGTTCTTGACACTTCAAGTGCACCACAAAATTTTCAGAAAGTGTATATTTGCATCACTTCTTAATCATTATTAAAATTTCAAAACTAAATTGTGTGCGGTATAATATTTGTCATGTATAAAACTAAATTGTGTTTTATTAACAGTTTTGAAAATAATGCTGTAAGAAAATCTTTTCAAAAGTTCGTAACTTACCAAAGTGTAAATAATTGTATCGACTGAAAATGTTTTCAGTGTTACGAATTAGCATCGATATACGAATTAGCATCCATATATAGGCATAGTAAATCGTAGTATAGCTATATGTATACGTATATATACCAATCTGGAAAACAACTGGGACTGCAAACATTGTACCTTTCAGCAGTTTGGAATTCAATTGGTATGTCTATATGCGGGCAATGTGCCGTCCTGAAACCTGAGGGGTATGGTGTTGACTTTTGGTTTGAATTTTGGGATATAAATCTAATATGTTACAGTTTATGCTTTTTGGTCTGAAAACTGAACTTGAGTGCTCTTTCGCCTAAAAAGGATGAGAGAATGAAAATCTTGCAGCCAGGTCCTGTAATGGTGGGTTCAACAGAGTGCTGAGGCATTCAAATTCTATAACAATAGGTTAATTTGATATAGTTTTGGGGTTTTTTGGGACACATTTTGGAATGACACGTTTGATGTTTGTCGCCTCCAAAATAGTTATGAACGGATTTTAGAAAGAAAACAGGATATACACTATTACATAGTCTTATTGAGTGCATGAACGCAAATTGTTCCAAAACTTTTCGCTAATTCAGAACTGAACAGAGACGGCTAATTCAGAAACAAGGCTAATTTTTCCCGAATAGCATGCAATATATATAATTAATCACAATGTATATAAAGAACTTGACCAGATACATGCTATACCTAAGACGCTTGTCATCGGATTCAGTCAAAAGGTTCTGAGTAACACGTTTATGTCATATTGCATGTTTTGTGATTTTTAGTCTGTTACCAAAATTCAAGCGGTGAAAGTCAGTATAGGGGTAACTTGCGGGGGTTGATATTGTTTTCAATTTTGGACAAATGGGAGAATAGTGTAACGTCAAACCGGATGTTGGCCCTTGGCGAAATGGCACCCTTCGTTTGCAAAAGCGTCACAACAGAGTTGTTCGCATCATAGCAAGTGCGCCTAATGACGTTGAGCAGCAAACTACAGTATACTGAATTTATCAGGATGGAAAAACACTCAAAACACAAAGAATGAAAGCTAAAGCGAAAATAATGTTCAAAATACTTCATGATATGGGGCCAAATTGTCTTAAAGAATTATTTACTTGCAAAAAAGGAATATTAAACCACAATCTTCGCGGTAGCTCAAGCCTGACGTTCGTATAGTTTGAGATTGGAGAAAGAGTTTTATGTACGATGCTGCCTCCATACACAACTCTACCGAAAGGAAATCGCTACCCATCGATTTTAAAAACATATTTTTGTAAATATATATAGAATTTTATATTTGCATGCTCATTTGAACATTTCTTACTATTCTTAAACTTGTACATTTGACAATGTTAGCGTGGTTAAATAAGGTTTATCATCATCATCCTCAGCACTGGAATATTTCTAGATTGCAAGCATAGGCGTGCAAGCGGAAAAAATTAGGGGTGGACTAAAATTTGCCTGACATTAATCATAGGTAGAATGTGTATGACTTTAGTCATCTTTAATAAATTCTTCGATACGTAGCCATCTCTTTGTCGTAATATATATATATATATATATATGTTTTCGTTTATTGTTGCAAATGATCTATTATATACAATTAAAAAAGGTAAAAAAGTATACTGAATTTTCGGTCACTAACTGCGACCTTCCTCAGAGTTAACTAATGTCAAGTTGATTGAACAAGTTTTAAATACTTAGCGTATGCAAATTTACAAGGTATGCAACAAAGGCAAATAAGTTTGCGGGAAAATTCTACGCTCATTAACTGCCTTTGTCTCCTTTGTTGAGTGTAATGACTCGAGAAATATACGTTTATCATAATTATGTACGCCCCTCTCTAAAATTTCTACATCCCCAGAGCATACTTCGTGTCCAGTTCGTTCTGCATGTTCCTTTATAGCCGACTCAATCTGCGGTCTTGTTCCCGGTTTATGTTCAGCCCAACGGGATTTCCATGATCTTTTACTTTCTCCAATGTAAAGGAAATTACATGTTTTACATTTGAATTTGTAAACAATGCCTTTGACTTGAGTTTCTGAAGGTCTGTCTTTCGGTTTTTTGAATATTCCACCCAATGTTGTTAGTGGCTTATACGCTGTTCTGATATTGGCACCAGTCAAGATTCGGTTGACTCTCTCAGAAACGCCTTTGACATATGGAATACATGCATAGCCTTTGGGCTCAGTAACAGAAGCTGGTTTGTTCGAACTTTCGGGTTTACTTGCAACACTGTTTATAAAAGCAGATGTGTAACCATTTACACTTAAGGCCTTTCGAACATTTTGTTTCTCAGCTTTTTTTCCCTGGATAGTATTCGGAATTTTATCAGCTCGATCAAGCAACGTTTTAACCACTGTAGCTTTGTGTTGTTTTGGATTGTGTGAGTCGAATGGATTATGATAAACGTATATTTCTCGAGTCATTACACTCAACAAAGGAGACAATGGCAGTTAATGAGCGTAGAATTTTCCCGCAAACTTATTTGCCTTTGTTGCATACCTTGTAAATTTGCATACGCTAAGTATTTAAAACTTGTTCAATCAACTTGACATTAGTTAACTCTGAGGAAGGTCGCAGTTAGTGAT